ACCAGGAGGACCTGCATCTTTGCGAATTCTGATGGTGTTTCACTACAGTTATAGGAAAGCAGTCCTGAGAATAAGAATAATAGAATCATAGAATGGCCTGGGTTGAAAAGGACCACAATGATCACCTAGTTTCAACCCTCCTGCTATGTGGAGGATTGCCAACCACTACTCCAAAGAAGGAGGTTAAGTTAAACTGGAATCCCTCCATCTACCACTGATCATATGCTTTGTAGAACAACAAAAAATCCATGTGTTTTCATCATCTTTATTGCAAGAATGCAGAATAGAATTTTGTGTTCAACTCTACTGCTTGCTAATTTGGCCAGATGCTGACTGAACTTTCATTTTATTTGGCTGAACTTCTAGAGAAGATTTCAGGGCAGTGTTATTGCTTTTAACAGTTGTATGCTTAAGCTTATGGTGTGTGCCATTTGCTTTCCAGACATCTGTGTGATTTGAGGAAAAAGGAATTCTCTGACAGTGTGGTATTCATAATTTAAGTAAATCTACCCTCAGAAGTAATGGCCTTTTGGGCCATTAGATGTTAACTGCTGTTAGCAGTGGCTGCTAGCTTTCATTTGCATTTTAGGGAATTTGTGGGAATTCAATCAGTACTGAAAGCTAAGAACTCAGCAAGCTTAAAAAGAGCATACGTTTTTAAATTAGGCTGCTTTTCACATATTTAATTTTATTATGTACAGTGAAATGAATGAGATTGTTAAATAGACTGCCAAGATAGATGCTATGTAGTTAACTGTGTTATGGAGAAATAATATCAAATTATATCTGTCTTGTAATTTTTAAATAATTTTGCCCTGAAAAGTTTACTACCATATAAAATGAGTAGGTTAGTCGTTGTAAGGAAGCTTGCATAAGGCTTCCTAAGTACATGGTGGCTGGAAGAATTCATCATAAAAAACAATAAAGCTCAGAAGTTCATGGTTATAATTTAGTTTATGTGGGGGAGGAATCATGAGACATTTTTATTATTTCCAAATGTAAATTAATAGACATAATCTCCTAAATCATGCTTTTCAATTTCAAAGGCAAAATCAATACAGGTTAAAATACCTGAAATACATTTTATCTATTGCTTAGAAGCTCAGCTTTTCACTCTTTCCTGTTAAATACCTTGGCAGTAACTCATGCTGTGTAGATAGACAGTGATTTACACTAAATGATAATAATGCAAATCTGTAGACCAGGAAAATGAAATTATTTATTAAAAAAAAAAAAAAAAAAGGAACTTATTAGGCTCATTTTCTATGGAAACAAAGGGTATGTGAGTTTACTTTCTCCATGTTTGTCCCTCTGTTTCCTTACCCTGTGGCTAGTTGTGAGCAACTTAGCATGGCTCAAAGTCACTGAATTCCTTCTAATTTTGGTGGTGAGAGAGAAAACCTCTCTGAGATACTGTAATACTAAGTGAAAGAAAGCAGTAGTGTCTTAAACTCAGAAAGAAACGGTCTGAATATTCTCACATGGGGTAAAGCTTCAGTTGGCTTTTACAATTTTGTTATTACATGCCAGCAAAGCCAATCCTCCAGCAAAAAAAGAAGTATGACCTCAATGGACAAATTGTTTTGTGGCATCTTCAGTCTGAACTTGTCTAGGTCCTTGTTGAGACTTCTGACTATACCCTTCTTGTATTACAAGTGTCTGTTTCATGGGCTAAATGGGCCTATTTGCAAGTCAGGGGTTCAGCTGTAGTTTTTTATTCAGCTCTGAATGCCTTGTTCCCTGGCAAAGAATGGTACAACACTAAGCAGTGCACTGCATTTTGTGCTTTTCTAATTATTAAAATATTTAATGCCAAGATCCAAGTATTTCTAGTTCTAATTCAGGGCTTGCTATGTTGAATTGGCTTTTTTTGACTGTAATGAGCATTACTTACAAGAAGAAATTGCCACAGTTGACAACAGAGTCTCTCAGCTTTCAATTTAAGCCTAGGTTTATGAAGATCTTTACTCACAACATTTCAGTTGTTTTCAATGAAAATTATAAAATTTTAACTGTCTTCGAAAGTATATTCCCATTTTTTATTAGTTCAAGAAGACAGTCTCACTTCCTTTCCTTAAGATTTATGCTTATGTTGCACTTACATTATCTGAGATTGTTTAAATACTGAAAAAGTTCTTTCTACCAGCAGGAACCTGAGCAGTAATCTTGCATACTATTGAGTGAAACTAAATGTTGTTATCTTTTGTAAGGTAAAGAGTAGAGCTCATTTCTGCTGTTCTACTTAAAAAGTGAAAGGCATCAGCACCGTAACTGTAATTATTATTTGTATTTACATTGTGGTAGTACATGGAGGCCTTTGTATCTTTGTGCTATTATGCTGTGTGAAAAGTACAGCAAAAACTGTTCCTATTCAAGAGGGCTAATAACTTGAGAAATTGTGAAATACTGGGATGTTGTTATGCACACTTGTCTCTTAACTAATAGTTTCTAGATTTAAACATTGAACTTGTTTCTTTTGCCATTGATGAGTTATCATCCATTGTCATTTCTGCAGGATATAGAATATTGGCACGATACATTTGTTCTTATGAAGATAAATAATGAGATTATTGAAAGCTTTTTTGTAATCAATAATTTTGTATTTCCCCAAAACTTGACAGATAATATTTCTTCTTACATGTACAGTCTGAGAAAAAATTATATAAGAATTATAGAAAGTTCCTCACTGGTGGTGGGAAAAAATACAAAAAGGAGATGGGAGCTCAACCCACAGTATTTTGGCAGTCTGCCCCATCCCTGGAGGCACTCATGGCCAGGTTGGATGGGGCCTGGGCAGCCTATTAGGGCGGGTGGCAGCCTTGCTCGTGTTAGGGGGTTGGAACTGACTGGGCTTTGAGGTCCCTTCCAACCCAAGGTATTCTATGGTTTTATGGCATTCCTTTCTGGCCTCTAGCTTGTCCTGCAATTTGCTCAGTGCCTTATGTTGTGTAGCTGTGTTATTCTGGTAGCTAGTGTCTCAGCTCCCAGCTCTTTTTGCAGGTTTGTTTTCTACTCAGTGTAGGCAAAGAGAGAAAAAGGGCAGGATATAAACCAGAGAGATCTGTGAAGCTTCTGCAGAAGAGCGTAACATATGTGAGATCTGTAATGTCTTAGTGACTTCCCTTGCACACTCTGGGAATGGGCAAGGAAGAAGTCAATCTTGACATTGAGAAAATATCTGTTTTCCACAGATTAAGGGGAGTTGGAGTTTACTGTAACCACTGAATAAGTGATAGACCTCCCCTTCTGTGGCAGTTTCACATCACCCTACTGCTTTCACTCCCCTGGTGGTGGGTCCCTGTTGGCGCAGCTGAAGTTGGCTCTTATCTAACCTTGAGCCCTGTTGGACTCTGGTCACAGAAGCCACTCCTGCAGCTCCCTGCTGGCCAATACCTCGCCGCATAAGCCCAGTAAAGACTGACTGTAAATAAAGAGACTTCAGCACAGTAAGGGGATTTTTGATCGCTGGAATTTGATTAGCTGGTAGAGGTGGTGTTATATTTAGGCACTTAGCTGTAGCATGCAGTTGAATAGTGAAGGCCGTTATCAACCTCTTGCACACAGTTATTTTGAATTCATGTTGTATCTCAAACTGCCATAACCACAGCTTCTTACATTTCTTTGAGGTTTTTTTTTCTTTTACATCTCAAATGTTTAAAATTATGCACTGGGAAGTGTTCGCAATATGTAAAAAGAAACAACTGATTTCCTGCATGTCTATATATAGAATATTTATATTGACTAGTGATGGTCTCCCTCCTTCTGTGTATGAAATAACATTTCTCAGTCCTAAGGGTGTAAATCAAGATAGAATCAGCCTAAAAAAAGGGCTTTTCTTCCTCAAATGCATAAAATATGCTTTGCAATTTAAAAAGTTTTGTAATTTATAAATTATTGCTGCCTGGGGTTAGTAAAAATTTATATCTTTTGAAATAATTCTGCTAGTTATTCATAGCAGTACTCAACACGAAAGCATACATAGTATGGTACTATTGTAATTCATAGAACACACCAGAGATTACCTAAAAGGGCAAAGTAACAGGTTTTTTACCTGATGCAAATCAATTTATCTCTTTTGATTAACCCCTGCTGAAGCTCAAGCCCAGGGTTTTAGGTAAGATTCTGGAATACATTTGGAGTACAGTGTGTAAACTGATGTATAATGGAAGCTTTGGGTGTATTATGGGTCTCTGTATCTATAAGGAACCAGTTACTGATCTGCCCTGCCTTACTGCTGTATTATTTCTTGCTACTAGGTTCTGCAGACACACTCCTATTTTATCAGAAAGGAACATTCAGGAAGTAAAGTGAGGGCACTATGGAAGATTTGAAATTTCTTACTTTCTAGTAACTTAGCTACATTAGGAAATGTGCATTGTCAGCAGCCATTGGATCAGGCTCATACAGTGCAGGTGGGTTGGTGTGCAGGGTGAGGGGGGCAGGGTTAATATCATTCTGTAGCCACAGTGTGGGATGCACTGAAGTCAAACTAATATTCCACATTTTCTATGAAAACATTTTTACTGAAAACTTTGTAAAAAAAAAAATATTAGTTAAGTTTTAATAAAACCCAAGGATGCTTTATTTTCATAGAGTCATAGAATGGCCTGGGTTGGAAGGGAACTCAAGGATCTTCAAGCTCCAACCCCCTTTTTGATGATCAGGGCCACCAACCTGCATATCTAATACCAGACCAGGCTGCCCAGGGCCCCATCCAACCTGGCTTTGAACACCTCCAGGGACGGGGCATCCACAGCCTCTCTGGGCAGCCTGTTCCAGCACCTCACCACTCTCTCTGTAAAGAACTTCTCCCTGACATCCAAGCTAAATCTTCCTTCCTCCAATTTAAAATCATTTCTCCGTGTCCTGCTATTATCTACCCTTATAAAAAGTTGACACCTTTCCTGTTTGTAGGCTCCCTTTAGGTACTGGATACTTTATTTCAGTATTGCTCATATTAGTCTTTAGAGGTGCTATTCACCTATCTGAACCTATTACTCTAATTTTCTAGATATGCATTCAAGCCTTACCTGGGAGAACTGCTTGATGTGTGCCTCAAAGGTATTCAAACACAGCAAAAATATAATAGATGCAGAATATTTTCAAATCTTTCCAGACTTTTGAAATTTTTGTGACTGAACTTTTAATAAGATCTCCACGGTTGTTGATCAGATTTTTTTCCTGTCAGGACTTCCTACAAGTCATGCTTCTTAAATCTCAAATTAAACAAATAGGGAGAGAAGAATCACAGCTGTCACAAATGTATGGAAGAATGTTCAGCAGATGACAAGAATCAACTACTCCCATTAGCAAATGAGGGTTCAAGAAGAAACGTTTCAAAACTATACAGGAAATGCATAGTCTAAATAGTATGTAAAACATTGATAAAAATTAACTGTAACAAGCAATTTAATGAGGAGGGAGGAGATGGGCAAGGTTAGGAATCTTTTTGTAATAGTAAGTTTAATTGCCATTGACAATGTGGAGAAAATGAATGTGTTCATGATCTTCTAAAGGTTTCCTCTAATCCAAATTATTCTAGATAGTCTCTTGTGGATATAGAAAATTTGTATAAACTTTTCCCTTCTGAGAGCAAAATAAAGCGAGTGATAAGTAATTCTTTCATTTCTCAAGAACCTTTCAAGGGCAGCAGAGGCACGAGCCAGAGGTTGTGTGCATTTTTCACCAGGATTTAACCTGGACAAGCTGAACAAGTCTCTAAAGAACAGCAGCCTGCCTGCTACTCCTCAAAACTAAGGTAAATAACGTATAGTCAACATTCCGTGTGAACTTTTCTGTGCTCTGTGTCTATGTGTTATAACTAAAACATTCCATGTACTGTAATACATCCAGAGCTGCATTTTGTGTGACTTCTGACAGTGTCCCATATTTTCTCCCACAGAATGTGCTGCCTTTCACCACAGACTTCTGTTTCACATGCAACTCCTGTTTATCTGGGGAACTGACTAATGATGCTTAAAAATAACTGCATTGCTGTTCCCATAAATCCTCAATATTACATACCTTATAAAGTATCCTGCCTGTTAAAAAGCAGAAGGTGATTAAAAACACCAGGACAGAACATATCTTTATGCAAACCCATTTAATGAGAAAGCACTAGTCCTTGTTGGAGCAGAACCTTAGATTATACACTGCAAGAACAGATCAGGCCAGTCTGCAGCATTTTCGTGCATAGACATACAGTTGGAAGAATATCAAGGAAAATATTCTGGGACAGCATCTGTCTGAATGAGAACTTCAAACTGCATTTTTCTTGCAGATTATGTACAGAATTCTACTGTGTGCCACTACATAGATATAGTCATGACTCACTGCCATTTATTACACCGCAGTTTGTGCATGCATAGCCTCCTACCTCTCTTTCTGCTGAGCAAGAAAATGAGTAAACAACTGGTTGAAGGAACGTCAGCAGAAGTTTTCTGATGATTCTCTTCCACACTTCTGGAAAAGCCCAGTTTCACAGTTTTGAAGCTAGTCTTTAATGAGAGCTGAACACGAAGGGTGAAGTCACCTGGTTCTGTTTTTGTAGGGAGCCTGGTAGCACAACTCTAAATTGCAAATGATTGCATGTGTACCTGTATCTTCATCAGTGGTAGGAATGTATATGTTATGCCACCTAATTGGAAATCCTTAAAGTGGTTTTTGTGCATAGTTGCAATGGAAGAGTCATGCCTATCTCTGAAAAAACATCAGGTGGTCAGTGGATGGCATCTATAGATCTTTTACAACATAGAGCTAAGTAATATACTATCCATATCTCGAATTACATTGAGAAAACAGTGGAAGATTCCATTATTTTTACTTTTTAAACATTTATATATTTTAATATATTTTAATGCTTTTAAGGCTGTCAGGAAACTTTATACAAAACTTTTTTTCATCGAAGAACACTAATATTTTAGATAATGAAGGTAGTAAATAAATTAGTCCAGATTATTTGGGAAAATCTTATATTAGTCATTGAACTTTTAAGGAGAGAGAAATCACCCTGAAACTTGGAAAATCTCTGCTTTTCCTCAGTTGTGGGGAAAAAATACCTGTTTTTTAAGTAAATCCTGTGAGAGTGGGTAACTTGATGTACTAGGTATTGTAGATAATGTATTGGGAATCAGCTCCTGATTTAATTGTTAAGGACAAGGGACTAATCAGAATGATCTGTGGCTTATTTTCCACAGATACGGATGAATCATCTTCCCTCATATATGCATGTATGAGTGCAATTTTTCATAGCAGTGCTGTGTGAACTACTTTTTAAAATTTCTTTTTCTTCTCTGGTTACACATCTGAACTCATCTATATTAGCAGTAGTGATCCCTTATGGCACCTTACAGAAATAAATTTAGATACATAGAGGTTGTCCAAATTCTTATTTGGGCAACCTTTCAGAAATAGAACATTTAATGTAATTTTTCAGTGGGAGGTCTTGTAAACTGTCTCTTAGCCACTTGCTAATTTTCTTACAATGTTATAATAATAAAAATAATAATTATTTAGTTTACAGCACATTTCATTTTCAAAGTGCTTTTGTGGTACTAATTATTCCTCGCTGTGAGGTTTAATGGTGCGTACCAGAGAATTATATCCTGGCTTAATGCCAATTGCCAATCAACTGACAAAATTCCAATTTTAGAAGTTTTCCTGAGAGGAAAAAAAAGCGTAATTTAAATTAGCTTGGACAGAACAGCAGTTTATGTGGTGAGAATTTGTCAGTCTTCAGAGGTGCCCTGAATGTGTAGATACTTGGTGGTAGGGTGAAATTATGACATTTCAAAGAGTTAGCAACTTCAATTTTAAAAACAACTGTATTAAGAATAAAGGTACTTTAAAATAAATCTTCTGGAAAAAATCTCCTTAGCAGAGTTCGCTGATTTAGATATACTCAGATTCACCGTGATCTGAAAACAGATTACTAGCTGTATTTCATATGTAAGAAGATATAGGTACAATGATGAAGCTCCATGGTCCAAAGCTTTGTTGGAGTAGAGGACTTTGTTCCATATCGTATTTTGTCCTTTGGCAAAGGTGGCACAGGAATTTTCTACCCACGTAACAGAATGTCTGGTTGTGGGTTGGGTCTGATTTCAGAGTCTGTATTGAATGCTCTGCTGTTATTAAGACATATGCTGTGCTAGCTGAGATATTCCCTGTTGATGAAATTTGATTTTTTTTTTTTTTGGCAAGTTTTCACTTTGTTTCCCATTCTGCCCATGGAGGATTTCGGTGGTTAGCTCTACAGGGACTGTTGTAGGGAGAGCTGGGCACATACTTGCTGCTAGATTGGCTCTACATAATTCCATCCAGCTCATTCCAGTGCAAGAAGTTACCAGATTTTGAAAGTTGGGGGAATTATGATTTTTCAGCCAGATCTAATATTTTAAATGGAGAAATACCTGCAGGATTCATCCTCAAGAAATTGATAACACTTGTTTTATTTTCAGTTAGATTTTACAAGTGTTTACTTAATGTACACTTTGTTTCATGCAGCTGGGAATCTGGAAATGCAATTTTTCTAGTGTGATGCAATCCAGAGTGTGCCACTGCCTTTCCTTGGTCAGAAAGAAATCCTACCAAATGTAGGTATCCTACTAAAGATTTCAAAAACATGAATTACTTGACAGATTGTTACTCTCTAACCTGTAAATACTTTTAGAGTGTTTTTAAAGACATGTTAGCTACCTGATGGAATGTAATAGCTACAAAGGGTACTTATTCAGCTACTTCAGTGGATCATAGATACAGCTAGAGACCTTAAAATACAACAAAATAATATACCCTTTAGCCAAGAGGAAAGCAGCGGCTTTTCAGAGGTGTTGCAGCATGTTTGGTTCATCCTTGTAAACCAACATTTTGTTTCTTTAAAGCTGCAACCAGGAATGTGTCAACAGCAACATTTTCACTATAACAGATTAAAATGTCTTTGATAGTAGGAGTAGGATTTGTCTGAGTCAATGGTATCATCCATAACTCTTGCCTACATGGGATCTAGCTGTCTGTTTCCTTCTTAGTCTATTGCAAGAAAGGTAGCTTAGGATGTGATTCTTCTAATTCTGTCTATGACAAATTGGCTGTATTATGTTAAAAAAAAAAAAAAAAAAAAAAAAAGTCAGTTTCTCTCCACTGATGATAATTGGGATTACCATCATAAGTAGTTCCAACACTGTAGATAAAAAAACTTTAGTTGTGGTGAAGGCCATTCCAAGTAATGTCATGTGCCTCCAGAATGTAACTGGAACAGTAAGTATGTTAAGCCTGGATCAGTGGGAGATGAATGGCAATTGCTTCAAGTCAGAAGCTTGCTTCTAGGGAGTGATGTTTTCAGTATCTAAACCAGATGTCAGAATCACCCTGATTGGCTTTTATGTGAATAGGGGGCAATGTGCTATTCCCTGAACTGTGTAATGTTACCAGAGGCTGTGCTGGTTGCAATGGACATATGTTATTATAGAGCACTTCTTAAGATTAGACAGGATGGACAATGACAGGTCCGGTGCCCTTTCACTATTTAGTTTGTCAGCACAGATATCATAGAATCATAAAATCAGAGAATGACCTAGGTTAGAAGGGATGTTAAATGTCACTTAATTTTAACCCACTGCTGTAGGCAGGGATGCTTCCCACTAAATCAGGCTGCTCAGGCCCCATCCAGCTTGGAGTTGAACACTTTCAGGGATGGGCCATCCTCAACTACCATGAGCAATGTGTTCCAGTGCCTCACCACCCTCTTAGTAAAGAAATTCGTTATAAACCACTGGGGGCTAGTTGAAGAGGAGTTCAAACTACGAAGTTTGCCTCAGCTTGACTTGCCCATTCACATATTATGGCAAGGATGGATTTGGTCATGCCAAGTGCTCCATGCACTATACTTATTGTTCTAATAGCTCCTTCTTGCCTGGTGTATTCATAGTGCACAGAACCCGTATTTGGGGTGGAACCACAAAGGTGAATTGTGTAAACTGTGGCTGAAGGGATACGCATTTGGATGAGACTACCAGGTTAGATGATTTTGAGGATTTAAGACAGTATTCAGACCATTGTCTGATTCCTGTTCTGCATGATCAGATTTCCCTGCCTGGTACTGACTCAAGCTGACTCTTTCGGTACTGACTCAAGCTGGCCTGTGGGCATCATGTGCATGCAGCAGAGGTGAGTGTTTGGGATGCTGTGTGAACACCAGATAACAGGACATTGTAGGCACAAACTTGCTTTGCTGTTGGTGGTAATAATTGTATTCTTCAGGAGGCAGTTAGTTCTCTATTGAATGTGGATCAGATAATGCATGAAGATAACATTACTGCTTGTTAAATTTATGCTTTAATCTTAAAGGGATTAGATTTATCTTGGTTTAATTCTTTAGTTTATTATTTTTTTTCCTTTCACACCTAGTCCTGTGTTGTGTTTTACTTTTCATGTCTTTCTTTGTTGGATTACTTTTCTGTAAAATGACTTTGGCTGTAGCTGGTTCAAATAGCAAGCGTACAAGAAGACTATACTGTTCAAATGGTGGTAAACCTGCAGAATCTTTGTAATCTTGCCAATATTTGACAAAGTAAAAATAATTTACTGACATAATTTGAACTGCCAAAATTTCTGATTTTTGTCAAAACCCAAAAAGTAGTGACATTTAAACACTTTTTCTCTATCTAATTAAAAGATTTTGGTGTAGACAAAATATACTCTACTTTCTTCGTATATTTTCCCACCATTTTTTCTGCAAGTATGTAATTAGATATGCTCATTTATCAAACTTTTAATTGAAATATCTTTCTGCAGCTTACTTTTCAATGATCTGACTTTCCACATTATTGGGTTCTTTTGCACTTTTCTTGTTATATTTAGTAGTGGTGTTTTGATGTGACTAAGATTTTTAACATTAGACAATTTTCTGAAATAAGACTTTAGTGTCCTCCTGTGTATCCCATTTTATCTATAATAGAACAGAACCAAACGTGATCAGAATAAGTAAAAAGAATGGTTGCATCTGAAGCAAATAAGGAAGTCCAAAATACAGGGACAAGATAGTCTCGTTTGCGCTCTAGAATAAGAGAAGACACCAGATCATTGCTCATGTGTCATGCAGCACCTGTAGCACTTCTCTCCTAAGAGAGTTGTGCTCTTTTGATGCTTTGGTAAATGAGCCAAACTTTTGGTAAATGAAATCTTCAGCACTGGGAGGGAAAAAGTCATCAGGGACTTGTGACACAGGGTCACCTTGACTTTTTTTTGCATGTCAATTTCAGGCTTGTCCTGCAGCAAATCAGTAGGACCCCACAAAAACACTTTGAACTTTCTCTTTAGAAACTGAAGGCTATGGTTGCTGAACCTCTGTTGCCTTCGTCAAGATAAAGATTTTCTGCACGGCTCAGTGGACCATATAAAGAAGTACTATCTTCTGTGCAAGTAACATGAAAAAAGGATGACAAAATCCCTAAACTTGGAAAGACTAGATGCTCAACTGAAATTGTACCTTTGAATTCGTGGATGTAACCCTTTCAGTGATTATGTGGAAATTTGATGGGTATTTAATGGCATGCACTGTCTTGAATTCAGTTCTGATTTCATGCTATATGATGTTTTCCTGGTGGTGGAAGTCAGCAGTGACTTTTTCTATCACTTGGAGTATACAGTTTCACAGGGTTGCATTTTATCTAGAATTTTTTTTTTTTTGGAAGTCATTCCATGAAATTTCTTTAGATTTTGAACTAGTGTTTCAGAAGGAACTCATAATTAAAAATCATTCTCTCTCTAGAATTTGGTATAGAATTCTTAAGGGATGTGCAATTGCTTCAGTGAACTGTAACTTCCATTTACCTAATGTAAAACTGTCTATTATGCATGTGGTCTAATTCTGGTGCTTCTTACAGAGGCTGTGACAGACTGCACTACACATTGGCTTCCACCTCCTTTACTATTATCCTCAAGGCCTACAAAAGCAATAGTGATGAGGTGCTTTTTCCTACTGCTTGGAAATAAGTTATGAGAGTTTTTAGTTACAGGTTTACAAATCAACAGAGATGGCCTAACTGAAAATTTTAGAATAATTGATGATGAAATGGAAGTGATACAATTATCAGGAAATAATTTTAGATTATTAATTGGACTTTCAAACTTGGTAGAGTAACATCATTGCTTATAACCCTTTTTCTAATGACTTGTTCTTCATTTATGTACATGGAATTGCTTGCTTATTGCCTGAGAAACTTCAGTTGATAATTATTCTTACTTTTTGGTAAGTGACTTAAACCTTGAATCAGTTGCCCAAATATGAATGATTGGTGGCCATTAATGTACCTGACCCAAAGCTTCTTGAGTGTTATCCTATTTGGCCTACAACTGTTGTCCCAGAAAGGCATACGACATATCTGCTAGTTCCATGTGGATGTCTCAAAAATCATGAGCCTTTTCAAATTGCACTAAATGCCTAATGTTTGGCACCTGAACTGAGTTTGTACAGTACACAGGCATGCTTTCAGATAAGTGAAATTGCATTTGCAGACATTTTAATCGAATGTCGTTTTTCTGCCAATACTTGTGTATTGCACTTTGTATTAGAAGGGCCATAGGAAATAAAAAGCTCAATGATGCTCTAACTGACATTATTTTCTGATTATGGTCCTCGTAATATTGTTTCTCTCTATTATTTAAAAATAAATTATTTCTACGTATCTTCTCTTCACATCTCCTTCATATTTCTACTATATTTTCTACAGTATATTGTTTTGTTTTTTTTTTCTAACACTCCCAAGAAAATGCTGTCTGTTTAAAAAAAAAAAAAAAAATAGTTTGTGATGCCTCCTGTGGTAACATCCTTTCAATGGATTATATTTGATTACATTTGTAAAAAAGAAAAATAGAAAAAATAATTTCAGAAATAATGGAAATTAATGGTTCTTACTGCCTCACAGTTAGCAAGAACTGATTAGAAACATTTTGAGAATTCAGACCATGCTTCAAGAAGTCAAAACCTGGTTCAGTCAGAATCCTCAGTTCCTCAGTGTTCTGATTTGTTAAGGTCAATGCACAAAGCACTTCGCAGGACTGCAACTTGCTGATAGAAGACATACTGTTCTCTGCTTAGTTCTTTGAAAGCAGACACCTGAATGCTTTTGATTAAATGTGGAAAAGCTACATCTGAGCTTGGAATTGAAATTTCAAAGGATTTGAGAAGACATTTTCATACCATTTTCTATTTCTTCCAGTGCTTTAATGTTTGGAGGGTTTAAAGTTGGTTCTCTAACTAGGAAAAAAGGATGTTGTCCAAGAAACATGGGAAAAAAAACCAAAGCTGTAACAGTTTATAAATGTACACAAGGAGAAAAAGGAAAAGTGGCAGCAGTCTGTTCCTTGTGATGAGGATATAAAAAATGCTCTGTACTGGAAAATCAAGCAGTAGCACATACGAATCTATAAGAAACACTTGAAGGTTTAAGCTGAAAATATTTCAATATGTAAATTATTGATTTTTTTTTTTTTTAATTTTTCATTAACCTTAGCATCTGGGTTTATATATTTATATGTAGACCCTAGGACATCTGAAACTTACTTATTCATCTATTCATTTGTTAATTTGCTTAGTCTTGCTTTCTCTTTAGCCTCTGCATTTTGTGTGAAATCTTGTACCTTGATTTTTAGAAAATGAAGAAAAGAATGAATGCTAATTTTTTTTGTCATACTGGTGTTTGCACAAACTTACAAAGTATTCCTATAACAGTGCATCATAGCTATTTCAAAACTGTATTGCAGGATTCTATTTTACATTTATTAAATGTATACAAATGTTTGTAGCCTTGGTTGTTACAAGATTAATTTATTTGGCTTTGTTTCTTGTTTTTATGTCTGATCTCCAAATACTTTAGTGTTATGTCATGAAATTGAACAACAAATTGTGAATTTATTGTGTCTAATTTAATGGTAAAAGTGCAACTAAAATAAATGTGGAAATTCCATTTGGTAAATTAGAAAAAGACGAAAAAATATCTGTAACTTGGAGATCACAACCATTTTGAAAACTTTAATGGTTTTTTCAGTCTTTTGACAGTAAACACTTTAGTTTAGGTCTTGCTTCCTAATTTCTCATTGTACCATACCAATAGTAGGACTTGCCAATAGTAATACTTGTAGGTGTATCACAGTACAAAGAACTGGAGTAATTTCAGTTAATTGTAACATTCAATCAATGAATACTAAGTAACACAGAGAATTCCGTCCACAATGTGCTTATATTCAGGTTAATAGGTATTATAATTTCTTCAATTAGGGAATGGAAAGTACACCCCTGGCATTACTCAGTTATTTGCAAGTTGAATAACTTCAAACAAACAAACAAAACAACAACAACAACAACAACAACAAACCAAGCAAGCATATCTATGGATGTAATACTAATCTGAAAGACTGTTTCCCTAAATTTGTGTAGGATCTGTAACACAGGCAGTCTGCTTCTATACTCAGGATCATAGAATGGTTTAGGTTGGAAGGGATCTTTATCATCATCTAGTTCCAACCCCCTGCTATAGGCAGGGACACCTCCCTCTACACCAGGTTGCTCACAGCTCCATCCAGCCTGGCCTTGAATGCTTCTAGGGAGGGGACATCCACAGCCTTGCTGGGCAACCTGTTCCAGTGTCTCACTACCTTCACAGTAAAGGATTTCTTCTTAATATCTAGTCTAAACCTACCTGCTTCCTGTTTAAAGCCATTTCCCCTTGTCCTACCTACTCTTACAAAAAGCCTCATCCCAGTTTTTCTCTAGGCCTCCTTCAGATGCTGGATGGCCACTATAAGGTCTCCTCAAAACATACTCTTCTCCAGGCTGAAGAGCCTCATCTCTCTCAGCCTGTCCTTGTATTGGAGGTGCTCCAGCCCTCAGATCATCTCTGTGGCCCTCCTCTGGACCCACTCCAACAGCTCCATGTCTTTCTTGTATTGTGGACCTCAGAACTGAACACAGTACTCCAGGTGGGGTCTCATGAGTGCCCAGTCTTTCTTTGTGCTTGGGATTGCCCTGACCTGGATGCATGACTTGTACTTGGCCTTGATCAACTTCATGAGTCTCCCTGAACTGCATCCGTTCCATCTAGCGTGTTAACTGCATCATTCAGCTTGGTGTCATCAACAGACTGC